GGGGTAGATTGCCCACCACCGGCTCAGCTTTACAAGCAAGCCCTTTAGCCAGCTGATGTACACATGTATGCCAGGGCTTGGGCCCGCTCTGGGTCTAACTGACCAAGAATTGAAATAAAAACCAATAATCACTCCCCAGTGTGGTATTTTAGGTAGGGCCACGTGCACATCTAGAAAGGGGGAGGAGGGAGCAGAAGGAGGCAAGAAAGGAGTCCCTGCTCAGGGAATTTTTATTTGTCTGACTTCAGGTGCAAAGAATTGAATTAATCATAATCTTTGGTTCATAACACACTCCACAGTGGTCCATGCAGGGCCCACTTTTATTTTTTATTTAATCAGCTATTAGATTTTTACTAATGGACAAATACCTTCAAACCCATCCTTCCCCCACAAAAAAAAGGAAATTATTGACCCTAATTTGCACTAACCATATGGTTTCCCCGCCAATCTGTCCCCTGCCTCACCCCAACTTCACCCTGATCCTGTGTCCCTCATATCTTTTCAGATGGTTTTACTGCAGCTGTATGTATTCCTAAACGTTCTTGTCTTTAATTTTAGTTATTTTTAAGTTTATAAAAGATGTCATGCTGCATCTTTTGGTGCATTTCTTTTGCTTAATAGCATATTACCAATATTCATCCATGTTTTTGCATGTCGCTGTTGTTCATTTGTTTTGACTGAGTGTCATTCTCCACTGTGTGAATACATCACAGTATCCTCATCTGCGCTCCAACTGACGGGCATTTGAGCTCTTCCCAGGCTTGTGGTACGGGGAACATGGTTGCATGTGTCTCCTTCCGGACATGAGTTTCCCTTGGGCACATGTATGTACCTAGTAGTGGAATCTCTGGGCCAAAAGAAATGTGAATGTTCAGCTTTAGGAGATAATGAGACAATATCAAAGGGTTTTCCATTTGACTGCATTTCCAAGAATTTCTAAGATGATTGTTTCCTCTTCCTGTCCTCCTCAATTTCGTTTCTTTACATTTCACATCAGCTCTATCAAAATGCTTAAGTCAAGTTCTCGGCCTAACATCTGGGTAGCATCTCAGATAAATCCCCCATGTGACAAAGAAGGGTCTTGTCAGCCACACAGATAATAAGAAGGGCACCACTGCAGACACAAGGACCCACCCTGGTCCAGACACTGAAAAAAGCTAGTCAAATGGAAGGGAACTGTCTGGAAGCTGCATCACATTTGGCAAATGGAAGATAAAAAGGGGATTAGGGGGAGCTGAAGCCTATCCCTCATCCAAGTTTGCTTGCTCAGTCTCTCTTCCCCCAAACCTCCCATAACCACCACACACACTTATTTTTAAACCAAGAACAAAAGCCTAAAAATGGGGAAAAAAAATTGTTTGTAAGTAACCAATTTCAAGTTTAAACGAGAGTACGGGGTCCAGCTTGGACATCACTGTACAGTCCAATTCATTTCAATAAATATTTACAGAATGCTTTGCAGTGTGACCAGCACACTGACAAATAAGATCTCTATTCTGCCCTCAAGGGGTTGTGAGTTTGTTCATTTAACAAGACAGGATCGTATACGAAGTGCCAAAGGGACGAGTCAGTGCTAAGAAGATGAAGATGCTGGCCTGATCTCAAGATGCTCACTGTAGAAGGATTAGCAAATTAGAACACAAGTGAACCAGATACAGAAGTTGTTCAATGTTGAGAGCGATCGATTCCAACCTAAAGGGGGTGCTGCAGAAAAGTTCCTCGAGAGTGATGCTCAAGCTGGGTTTTGAAGGATGAACCAAAAAGCGAAAGGAGAGAGAACAAATCAAGAATATACCTAAAACAATTAAGAAATCAAAGTCCTTACTCCGATTTCTTGACTTCCCCATTTTCTCCTATTTCTCAACTCCTTAAATCTATTTCCTGCCTCCAGGCACGCTGAAGCACCAAGAAAGTGGAAACCGTGGACCACTCACTGTTAAACATGCATTATCTGCATTTATTTATTTTTAATACAAACACCAAAAAATCCATCCCCACCAGGTGCCTGGCCCTATGCTGAGCTCTGGGGGTCCACAGATGGACAAGATAGGCTCAGTTCCTGCCCTCACCCAGCTTTCAGTCGTCAAGGGTAGACAAGGATTAGAAAAGACAGGCAGTTGCCTTGGCCTGCCCATGGGCCAGACTCCGCCAGCCCGGGAGAGCCCCTCCCCCATCCCATCCTCCCCTGAAACATTTTCAGTAAATTGTGCAGGATTAAAGAAATGGTTACCTCCTCGGTAATTAAAAGGATCCTGCCCAGCGTCCCAGGTAGCCAAGCGGCTGCTCAAAGCCGAGAGACCAAAATATCAGGTGCTCCCTACATAATAGCCTCCAATCTGATATTTGATCGCTGCTGGTTTCCAGAGTCACACAAATGTCAGGAATTTTATGAAGGCAGGAAGCAAATAAGGGGGCAAGGATTGGGGTCTAGGCCTCGGGGGAGCTCAATTAGTGAGCCAGATAAAGTTAAACCGAAAGGGCACGCTCTCGGTTTCCTAGAAAGCCAGCTGGAAAAGATGCCAATCCTTAAGCCTCTGTCACTCAAAAGATTAACAGAAGAGACACCGGGGTGCCCAAGGGAATACTGCAACAAGCCAGATGTTTCTGCTCCTCCTGTGACGCTGCCACTCGCAACCAGAGCCACACTTCTGAGGCCACCAAGAAGCCAGAGAAGAGAACTGGAGTCTTCGGGAACAGGTTGAAACTCAAAGACATCACCCTTTAGTGATACAGACACCAAAAAATATTGTTAATAACGCTTTCTTACAGACTCGCATGATACATCTGGGTTCAGTATTCTCTCTTTGAGCCATCTCTTCCTAGTTGGACGAACTAGAAACGGCATCGCTAGTTGGACAAACACTCCTTGCAGCTGCTTAGTGGTGCAGAAAGCACACAACCTGTAAATCCATATAAACTGGATTTGGCTCTCAGAGCTGCACATGCACCATGAGTGTTTTAAGCAAGCCATTTAGCCTCCCTGAGTCTCACCTGCAAAATGGGACTAAACAGACCCACCTTCTTATTCTTATAAGCATAAACGATCACAGAAAGTGCCTAGCCCAGTGTTCATAAACGGCAGTTATTAGTGTTGCCTATAAATGTACCCAGGTAAACACACGCTCAAGACAGTGGCTTCCCCTTGGTACTTTTTAAACACATGTGTGTATGTGTGCGTGTGGGGAGGGAGATGCAGCTGGGACATACACAACCCTATTTATAGTTCCTGCTTATGTTCCATCATTTCTATCAAATTAATAAACTAAAGGGAGGGAAACCTAACCAATGTCCCTGTTTTCCCCTGACATCCCTAACTTTCCCCTACAAGTTGCTTGCTCCAATTTCAAGAGGCAGGGAAAGAGAGCCATATGGCTTGAGATGCTAGACATGCCCGACAGCAAACAAGCCCCCCACCATTTGTCTCCGGCCCCTCGTGTGGGCGGGCATCCAGATTTCAGCTGGGGTGCTCTGGTCTGCATCTCTGTCTTGACTGTTCCTAATTATTGGAGGGAACGCCATGGCTCTCCTGACCTCGGAGTTTAAGAGCTGCAAGTCCTAATATCAAACCAAGCAGCTTCATTTAAAAGGCATCCTCATCTGCATCCATAAAAGTCACTCCCGGAGCCCTTACTTGCCCCAGCTTTGGGAATGCCTGTTGTCGAGGATTTACGACACACCCTGGATCTAATCTGCCGAACTTTAACTGCTGCTGTTGCACATCTGGTCATAAAAGCAAGGGCCAGCCCAACACGGGGACAAACACTTTTCTTTCCTAAGTGGCTGCAAATCTGATCTCACAGTGATAGCTGGGCTCGGATGTAATCAGCCAGCATCTGGGCAGTCGTTAAGGCTCGTCAAACTTTGCAAGGCTTTCCACCACCCACGACAGCTATAAAGATGATTCCCATATAGCGGAGAGCTATGAATAAAGAACCTGCGGTCTGAACAGGTGGTAATGAGGTTAGGCCCAAGGATACCCAGGAAAGTACAAGTTGGTTAAGGAGCCAATCTTGTTTTCACAAAGATCCCAGCTCCTTTCATAGGGACTCATGCCGCGGGTTAAGCAAGCAGCTGTCCTGCGAGACCACTGCCCTGACATAAACTAATTCTTGGCCAGAGATTGTCTAAATAAGTTTGGTCAAATGAATCACTAGGTGGTTTACTAGTACATTTTTTAAGGCAGTGGAATCCTTCCTTAGACCAATCCGGGTAGGGGGAGCAATAATCTAGACCAGAAATGAACACAATGCTGTGGATTTCAGGAGATTTTACAACGCCCTGGACAGCCTGTCCTGTGCACAGAATTGGCATGTTTCATATCGTTCAGAAACTCCAATCGGACCAAGGTTCAACAAGTAGCTCAACCTCCCTCCCAGCCTCGAACCCAGGGGAAGAGATTCTTGCACGCTCGTCTGCACTACCTCTCCACGGCCCCCCCACCTCTACCCCTCCTCCAGGGCTGTGCCCAGCAGGAGGGAGCATTAAAATTATCTGCCGTGGGTTTTACGAGCAGCGATCGCTTTTTAACACAACAACAACACAAGGTCCTTGTGTGGCTCTCGGGTAACCTAAAACTCTGGAGGCAGAGCTGCCCCCGCTGTCTGCCAAGAATGCCAGCGCTCCGGGACCGGGCGCAGTGCAAGACCACAGGGCAGCCCTACTTGAGTGTGGAGCGAGCTTCTCTCCGACGCAGGAGGCACCTCTAAGGGTCTTGGGGCAAAATGCCCTGGGAGAAGAGATTAGGAAAGAAAACCCACCAGTGACAGTTGGGAGCGGGGGGCAGGCAGAATCGGTGCTACAAGAAAGGCTGGGGGTAGCGGGAGACAATGGGGGAAGATATATTTCAGCAACTTCAATAGGAAGCCCGCAGGGTACTGGTAATAGGCGAGGGGGGGACAAGGTCTGACACCTCCCTTCCCCCTCCTCCCGCCCCCGAGGAAGGAGGGCCCGCGACCCCAGTGTCCCTCCGCAGGTGGGCGCGCGGCTGGGGGCGCACTTACCCTGGGGCCCGTGGTGCGGTGGCCGCAAGCCGGGGACAGCTGCACCAACACGAGCAGCAAGTGGGGCGTGAGCAGGCGGGCGCAGCGCGCGGGCAGCATGGTGCCAGGCGGGCCGGGCAGCCGGCTGCGGGCAGGGGTCGCGGGCTCCGCGGGGC